AAAAAAAAAGAATGTATAAACATTAGAGTATAGATCACTCATGCTGAACCACCAAATGTGCTTTATCATGAGATAGTCAGTCTCCACTCCCTAATTTATCTTTTCCACCATCAATTTTCAACTTTCAAATTGGAAAAGAGTGAGAAATCAAAATCAAATCCTGTACAAGCAACTAAACCAAAAAAAGGGACATCTCTACCACCTGCCTGATCTATATAAAAAATTTTCAAACTTAATTATGTGAATAAGAAAAAAATATAACCCATTAGAGAATTTGTCACCTTAAAAAATCTGTTCATCAATTTATAGTGAAAAGCCTTGTATACCGGTACATTTATGTGAGAAGAATACTTGAGCTCTCTGATGCTTGCTGGTCTGTGACATGTATTGCAAAATAATTGATAGACAAAATAATAGGATGGGTAGTTTTCGTTTTCTACCATGCAAATCCAATTTTGATTTTTATTGCGCAATCATGAAAATGGTTCTCTCCATGTGACGGCCATAAAAGTTTTGTGTACACGCAGGGTTACGCCATTGGAAAAAGCAACAAATGTCAGCGTTTGACGGCCGATGGCTTGACAGATATGATAACCAATCAGTACGGCAAATTGACAAAAACTGTCGCACTATGCTAATCCAAGTCCGCTTTAGTCTCCGACAATGGGATTTATGGCCAAAATATGCCACTCTTTCTCATAGGGCTCCATTATTTAGTGATGCTTTTCCATCAAAACGAAGATTTACATCCCCGATATTTTACATTACAATGGATTAGTTAGTCATCATTTTGTAGTCAATTAAAAAATTACATCAGAAATTTTAGAAACCGGATATGTGTTTGTGGAAAGTCGTCTTTTCTTTATGTTTGAAATCTCTGCATTAAGCACAATTAGAACAGCTTCTTGACTCTAATTCAGTGACCATAATTAACATTTATAACTGATCTGCTATCTTAAAAATGCATTTCTTTTCCCTGATTTTGAAGATGAAACAGTTGTACAGAGAGATTTATGCCATCTTGAAATGTTCACTTTACTATCTCCATCACTGATCTAGAATAAAGGTCTATACATTTACGTTGTTAAATTTTTGCCCCCATAAAACATTTTTTTCTGGAGAGAATTATGCTAACATGTGTCGGACCGCTGAGGGACATGATGGGTTAATTTTTGTCTGTGATGTCATAATGAAATCCCCTGAGATTCCATCTATCTCAAGTTTTGCGGGCAAAGAGAAAGGCTAGACAGATTATTGTATTAGATTATATTCTTTTCAGAGACAGCATGTGGCCTTATTAGGATAAATCTGTGATACTATTCTCGACTGAGTTTTAAGCTTTGCATATTAACAAAGCACTTATCACATGGATTTTGCAGAATGATGCGATGTGTGAAAACTGTGTTAATAAATGTAGAATTTGATAGACAGACACATAAACCATACAGTATGACATAACACATAGGCATTAAAAGTCAATTAATAGCAAAAGGTTATCTTCTTATGCATCAAAGATGGCATCATAATGGTGCATAATTTTGCAATGAAAGCCCTGAAAACATAAAAACTTGTTTACATCTGTTCAAAACAAGACAACACCAACTTTATAAAGAGCTCAGAATTTAATTCCCCCCAAAAAAGATATATTTGCCAGTTTTCTTGAGATAGTAACTTTCAGGAGCTTTTTCAATCTATGACCTATAGGTCATGAGCTGACCTTGAACTGGTGCCTGCTACTTGAGTTTTCTCTGTTGTTGTGGTATCAAGAAAAGAAGCATCTCAGATTCCTCGACAAAAGAGATTGTTACGTCCTTCTCTTCCATCTAGATTACTAATCACTACGTCGACAATTAATGTCATTTATAAAGTAATCATACATAGCAAAATAGACAGAAGATGGAGGATTACTTGGAAAGTAAATCCTGCTAGTTATGTTAAGTTGTGCACTAAATAAAAACCAAGACTGACAGATAAATACGTAAATATATATCACAATGGGATCAGGACGGGAATTAGTTCTGACAAAACATTGCATGTGTGTCCAACTCGGAGCTCAATGTCGGATGAAGACAAATGTACGATGATAGGAAAAGTCTAAAACATAGGGAAATGTTCTGAGAGAAGTACATTAGTACTAATCAGTAGTATTAGGTCTAATGTTATTGAAGATCCTTTTGCATGAAGAAGTGAAACAATAAATATGATACTTTGCCAGCAAAAAAACATAGAGATGCCATTTATTTTTTGGCAAAGAATATATGTAAAACACAGACTTGGAGACGTACAAGGGAAAGAGTTGTGCTTTTAATGTTTTCTAAGAAACCCAATTAAACAGACAGGAAGCCTGATTTATTCATGGCAGGCTTATAAATGGCCTTTGAAAGACAATTTACCCAGATTTCTGAATAACACACTGCATAGACTGATAAAAATATCTGAGAGAATAAGCCCTAAGGCAAGTTATACAATGCAACGCAATTGCATATTTGATGTACCTTTGTAATATTTCTCGTCTCATCTGCAGCTGCAGTCGTGCGTGCACTTTTCCTCTCGTTTAATTTTTCTGATCATTGTTATATTTAGCTTGAAGGAGCCAAGTCATGCTGAGACGGGGAGTGGGGTCTTTTGATATATAAAGATGAACATCTTGGCGGATTTTTAAATCCGAGACTTTAAACAAAGGCATGCACAATAAAGAAAACATGTTGCAGACTCTGCTTATATCATTGGGGATATGGCAGGTGCTCGCAGCCATTTTTTTTTTTTTTTGGCAAAGCAACCAAAATGGGCTCAGGTCATACGTATTGAGACTTGTTAAATAAAAAGCTTTCAAAATAAATAGCTTAACGGAAAAAAAAAATCTGGCACAGAGATCTGACGCATAAAAAAACATGTTACATGAATTAAAAGTGTGTTTTCCCCACATACTTGACTGCAATGAGAGACATTTTACCATTCTCTCTTTCTTTCTCTCTGACTCTCTCTATCTTTTTATAAACATACATAGTATTACATACAAATATACACATAAACACACACAAATCTGCCAATTCTAATGAACAAGATTAGGGAGGCATTTCATGAAAAAGGGAAATGACTCACAAGTTTGTTTCTTTAATCATGTGAAAGTATGTTACCCCCTAGAACATTCCAAGCAGTGCAACAGCTTTTGAGCAGCTTTCATCCAATCAATATATAATATTCTCCTCATCATAAATAAATTTTCAAGACTGTGGAAAGTAATTGGCATGCACAAACAACATGGGGAACGTGAATAAAAAAGAAATTCCGATGTCAATAACTGTAGGAGAAATGATACTTTATTGCCGTCTTGTTATTTGGCAGTGAAATTGCGACAAACAGAGATGTTCCTCTGTTTTCCCTACCATAAAATCAATGGAAAAAAATAAAAAAGACAATATTATTTCAAACAGTATCAAAAAACGTCAAAAACCCCTTTACAACATTATTCTTTCATCCAATTTGTTTTGCCCTTTAAAATATGTCATCCCGAATTTTAAAATCGTAAAACTCTGTAGTGGACTCACATTTTTAAAGGTTAAAAATAAACTTCATATTTCAAGCATTTTATGAAAATGATTAGTTGAATCTGTCAACAAGCGGCACATAACTATTTTTTTCTTGACGTAACATTTGTCAATGGGGACTTTTTCTGTAGCCAAGAACTGTTTATTTTCCATTAATAATGTGATGTCGTCATTTTTCTCTTTAAAAAATTCACCCAGACAGTTATTTTTTTTTTGCTGTGCATCCATCTCTTATATGCAAGCATTATTGTGCTTGATTAATGCAATGCACACTTGAATATTTAGTCTATCTTCAGGAATATTTGACACAAAATGTTATATTTAGTTAGCAAACACATTTATTATTTGCCAAAATGAATCAATAACTCTTGTCTTTTCGAATACAAAATAATTCAATAAATGCCTCAATCCTTACAATAGTTTAGCAGAACCATTAATTGCATCTCTTGCACAATTCTTTACTTAATATATGTCTCAGACAAATAATATTTTTAATATGGTCTCACCATGAATTCTAGGTCAAAACCGCTTTTACTTACTGGCAGAAAGGTTTAGACAGTATTTTCAATAACTTCGAAAACACATAAACGGAATACTGAGAATACCTCAGTTATAAGATTAAAAAGTTGAAAATTCCAACATAATTTATTATTATTATCAGTTAGGGAAACACTGACCCAGAAAAAACCCTCATTATGTAATCAATTAAAAGGAGGATAATAAAGACTTCAGACATAACAATTAATCCTGACTGAGGAATACTGGAATCTAGAGCAAAATATTTAACATAGCCACGTAATTGGAAAAAACCCATCAATTCCCAGACTCAGCAAGCTTCAAAGTGTCTCCAACAGCGTTCCCTTATCTTCTAATGAACTCTTCTGCCAAAACACAATCAGGCCCATATATACAATTAATCTTCTTTTCACAGGAGAGTTATAAATCAAGGGGAATAACTTAAGAAATTTTAGATAAGGAGAAAGAAATCTTTACCAACACTAAATAGGATTATAACCACAAGTTCCTTGTTAAACTGTTAAACCAACATTTAAATAACTTGCTAAGTGGATTATCCAGATTGCAGCTAAGGTCTAAATGGATTAAATGTTTCAATGACTGTGGACTGCAATAAACTGCCAATTTGTTCTATGCAAAGTCATCTAAAACAGATCTCTTTTTCATTTGATGCACTGATGCCTGTATTATATTACACTTAAAAAAATCTAATTATTTTAGCCAATTCAAGAAAAAGACTTTTCAGCACATTCCATCACAAATATGGAAAATGCCATGAAAATAGTGCAATAAAAATTCAAAACATTAAAATGCAAATTATTTTTTGTTTTAAAGCTTCAGATCTAAACATGAGAGTTTATCTGACTAAGAGTTGTGAGATTGCAAGTTTCAGTGAACTTTATATTCACGTCAAGAGCTGACTTAAGAGTTACGTACCTTGATGGAGTCGAAGCATGCCGTCACACGGCCATTTTGAACTTCCACATGAGGCGGGGGATGTGCAAATTTACACTCTGTGTCCGTGCGTGTGCATTTATTGCGCTGGTACTCTCGGCAGACTTCTAATGTCAGCCAGCGCGAGTCCTTCACGTTACTTCCGATTGCTAACAAACTGTTTACCATGGCCATTACAAGAAGTCACACCAATGAAAGACTTGTGGGTTTCTTATAAATCAAACACACAAAAAAATCCGTACACGAATAAAATGTAAACGTCAGTGAATAAAAAAAATGAGAGAAAATAGAATATGTCGTCAATGAGGATTTTAAAATCTCGATTGCAATTAACAAGAAAAAACTAAAATATAACCACTAATAATCAATAAGTGTATAAAACATCCAAAATGACGTGCACTATTGAAGAATGACGTTGAGCTGGGATAAAAGTTTTTTCAGAGCTGTATTTCTTCCAAACTTCACTGAATAATCTGCAAAAGAAAAAAATAAAAATAAAATGACAAATTCATTACACAGAGCTAAAAGTCACATGGGCTTAAATGACAAATTACTTCAACAGGCACTTTTTTCAGTTAACATGGCAACTGTGATAATAAACAAGTTCAATTTCCTCAAATTAAATTTATTTTCAACAGACACAAAAGGGAAAACTACTTATATTGCTACTCCAGACAAATTTTTATAATCTCCTTGAAGATGAGGTAAAAGCCAGGTTTAAAACTGTAGTGAAATAAAAATCTCACATTTGAAATTAAGCAGACGTTTGGTAGCCATTTTAAAAATGAAAGTGAGGCCCTTGGCCCACTGTTCATCACTTTCAATTGCACCTACTCCTGCTGGCTTTCGCTTTATCATATCAAGGGTTTGATAAGCTGTCAGAATATTGAAACAAATACATTCATTTTCATAAACTGTTGGAGGAAAGATGTCAGCTCATTTAATGGTGGGGTATAATTTTCAGTGAAAAAAATTCAGACGTCTGGGATATTCCAGCTGTTTTCAGTATGTTAACAACCAAACCTGAATCATACACTTCAAAAACAAAACTTGTAAAATTATCTCACAATTGGAAATATTTTTCTTCTCCAATTTCTATGGCTGCCAGACAAGTTCATTTACAAAAGAAAGAGAAAAATGGGGAAAAAAAATAACCTTACACTGCTAATCAGGTGCAAAAAAAATGGAATTCTTCACATGCACAATCACAACTCCAAAGACACTTCTAGTACCCAATATCCTCAACAGGAACTAATATTCCAAAGATTCAGGGAAGAACAATGATACAAAAAGTCCTCACTTGGGGAGGAAACAGCATTTTTACACTGCTTCTGGATCATCCTTGTCACATCTTAGAATCATCAACAACATCAGATAAACACCAACAAAGAGAGGAGGAAGTCTCTCCCCAGATTCCAGAGAGATGGGGGATAAATGGGGGATGACAGATACAGGTGATAGAAATCGAGACATACCTCCATCGGTTTACTTGTTGTCAGTAACCTAGCAGTACAACGTGCGTACTTGTACCAAAGAACAGCATGTGGAAGGGTGAACAAAAATCACACGCAGTGACATAACAATACAAACATTCCTATACCTCTTCTGTGGAGCGAAAAAAAAAAGCTGAAGACTTTGAGGTCACCATGTCTACACAGATTTCAAATGTTCGAAACTGACATTTTTTGTCGAAAAAATCTTGTGATGGTGTGTTCTAAATGTGAGTCACTATGGGGTCATTTGAGAACAAATTATATTCGAAACAGAGCAGACAACATGGTAACAGACATGGACATTCATAACTTGACATGTAAAAAAAAAAAGTATTACCTCATCAAAATTTGTCCTTAATTAACATACAAACTGGACTAATTAACCCCTCATTGCTTCAAACACAGAAGTTTCCAATGTTATCACGGACAATCCAAACTACCCTCATGGTTTTTTTGTTGCGCTTTCACTGGAAGTGCCGGCTTATCGGCTGTTTTAACAAACCTACTTGCACGTCCCACTGTAACTACATTAACTACTCCACTCAGAATTCAAGATTTCTATAACATGCAAATGAAGTAACATCAGGCCTTAACACCTGAGAAATTTACCTGTATAGGTTGCTATCAATATCATCGCTTAAATCCTGTGTTGATTCATCATATTTAAATTTTCAATGTCTGTCTACATTTCTTGTAATTTTAAAATTAAATGTCCTTTTACATGACAGGTTTCACAAGTGCACACTATAATGCATTGCAGTTGTCCCAGGGCTTATTTTTTCCCGCCAGATTTCCCACACTTAATTTTGTTTTCATTGAATGGGTCCAAGATTAAGTGGTAAAACCCAGAATCGTTCTGAAATCACATTGCTATGCTGCAATATTGGGCGCGGTAATCCCCGATCAAACAGTACAGACTAGTGCTGATATGGACTCAACATGCCATGGTGACCCAAAATTTCTCATTGTACGCTTACATGATAAATTCAAGGCCAGTACAAAAGCCATGATAAAAACACCTTGGAATTCAAAAGCTCGCAAATAGAATAGAACACCCTTTAAGGTAGCATCTCATTAATATACCCCTCGACTGCCGTTGGGTGAATAGTTATTAAATTCTTGACAAGAAGCCTCGCCAGGGCAGTGTAATTGTCCTTTATGTGTTGGGTATTCATCAAGAATTGCCGTGCATTCATCCGGACCCACATTAAAGGTGCACTTTTGTATTGGAAAGATATATTGAGATTTGATATCTTGAAAAAGCCGTTTTATGAAAAGACATATTGATTTACAGGTTAGAAAGGCTACTGGTGATAAATTTTCAATAGGTGAAAATTAAAGAGGTTTACAAAGGTATCTCGTTACCTTACATAAACAGTCTTTTTCAGCACCTGCATCTCCCAGAGTCAAGAAACCCGACCCATATTACATAATGCGGGGTCATCAGACATGTTTTTTTTTAAACTTCCTCTAAAGATGCACAAACAAACTGTCATGGCTGCCCTCTGTAAGACACCAGAGGGAGGACTTCCTATTCACTTGTACAGTTTTTGGTAGATTACAGACTGCTCCCTGACTCACTGTTCAAACACAATAAAAACCTCAGGTAAATATTACCTGTCTAGTTATCAGCACTGGTCTTCAGATAATGGAGGGTAGATTCCCCTCTACATGCGGGGTCCCTCACCTGCTTATAAACCATGCTGCTGTTTTATCTTGTGACTTTTGTCAGGTGAAAGGTTAAATACAAACTTGTGGTCATTTAATTGCATGGTTCACTGATAGTGACTGGATGGACTTTTTAGACTTCTTAAATCACATGCACTTTAAACGTTTTTAATAATAATAAAAAAAGATATTAAAAAGGATTCATCAGAAATAAAATATTGGAGTATTACGTGTTAAATAAGAAATCAGGAAGATCAACACATGGTTTTCAAAGGTTAAAACAAGTTTGAAAAAAAAAATTATACTGCTGAATATTTTATAGGATACACATGGACGCTTGATTATGTACCATGTACATATTTTAAAATTACATACATCTTTGAGTAAAAAATTATTGTTAAAGCTTACCTTAGTTACTGTAGGTTTAAAAAAATTTGTCTAAATTTTTCCACGGGAAGAATGTTTGTGCGTGCTATGAAATCTACCCAAGAAAATGGCAATAACTTCCTGTGCAAGACAGTTGCTTAGATTTGCTTTCAAGGTGAATTTCCCTGTTTACTGCGACATTATACACCCGATAATAATATTAACCCATTTTTCTTTACAAATTCACCAGGAAGTTACATCTTAGGGAAACAAGATGTATTGTAACCCTATAATTTATTCTTTTACCTTAAATAAATAAGGGTATTTAAAAAAGTGACATGTGAGATTTAATGTCCTTTTTCAAATGATAAAAAAACAAATTCTTTTTCCTTATGTTACAACCTAAGATACTAAGGTAATCTAAATGATCCATTACTTTTTTCCAAATTTTTCCATTTCAAAAAATGCAAATGCATGGACATCTGAACCCCATTTATACTCTAGTCTTGTCTTTTTTTATTTTTTTTTTTTTTTTTTAAAAATCCCTCTTAAATTTGAAGCTACAACAAATAGAATGGTGTGGTCGACATAATAGGATTATCTGCCCCTTACATTCTAAGAATAATGAAGTGGCAATGCTCTTGCTTCAGTATATTATTAACCAGCCTCATTAATGAGCATGGCCCTCCAGGGAAACGAAGTCCTGTCTACGATAATCTAATAATATCACATCAATGAATTGACTTTTATTTAGGTTTTTCTGTCCGTGATTTGTATGTCTGCATTAACAACCCCTGGTATTATAGTCAAGAAAAGATCCCTTAACTGATAATGGCTGCTCATCAGAATTATAAATATATTAACACTTTCATTTGACAAAATACAATGCAGTTTTTCTTCTTCTTTTTTTCATGATTTAAAAAAAAAATTTTTAATACATGTACAGTTTTATCTTATATTGTTTCCTTTTTCAAAAAAAGTTATTATTTTCCATTATATTAATTAATAATTCGTTTATGGAATATTTTAATTCAAATAGCCCACATTGGCATGTACTGAATAAATTGTACAATGTACTTTTACGAGATCCTCACACTTTTTCTATGAATTTAAACCACAGACAAGTTAAATATATGCAGAGGCACTGCATGTATAATTATACAATCCAGTTTTATTCATGACTGAATTTCTATAAATCATTTACTAAAACCATGTAATGTATTCCGTACTAGCTATAAAACTAAACATAAAACCTGTGCGTATTACGCACTATTGTAAAACAATGTCTGGTGACAGACGAGTCCTTATCGAAAGAGAACCTGTTTAAACATTCCTAAATAGGAGCCTTATTTATCCTCCTCCTTATTGGGAACAACCTCTTCCTCAAACACTTAGCCTTACCTTGAACTCGTGCTGAGGGAAAAAAAAACACACAGACGATCACACTGAAGGATGTTATAAATGTAAAGTCTCCTCTGAAATCATTTTTATTCAGAAAGAAGGTTTTTTTTTTTAAATATTAATTTTTAAAGAATTGTGAATAGTCCATCATGAAAAATATGTAACCCCTCCCCCCCCCCCCCCCCCCCCAAAAAAAATACAGTCAAGAAAAACCTTGTAAATCACATTCACACTAATTTCTAATCCAAGATTGCCCCTTAATAGCTTTTCAAAAAAATAATAATAATAAAATCCATCACACTTGTCTTGTTTTAAACTCCCCAATATACTGCCATATATGGGTCCTAAATATTATACTGTTTTATTCATTAACAGATTCCAGAAAATGAAGTAACCTTTGAAGTTCCAGCATAGTCCTTCATAAACCAACTGACTAATACCTAATAAATCAATGGCACACCTATTTTACAAGTTGGTTGATTTTTACACAACTTAGCAGGATCTTAATATTGCAGTCTTCATTTTAAATCCAGAACCATGTGCCC